AGGATCGGACATTGTTTCGTTCTGCTGTGCATGGGTTGCTATGAGTCGGTTCCAACTCAATGGCAGCTGACACACACACACACCAACTTCTTCAATCTGAAATTGATCAGACATGAAATCAAGATGTATTGATGATTACTTGTTTGGAATGCAAAGGTTGGAAACAAAGAGGATCAGTCATTGGAAACTATGGCTTTGGTGATAGAAACAATGCTGGAGATCATATGAAACAGTTTGGCAAGACCAATAACTTATTCATTGCAAATAACCTTTTTAAAATGGCATACATGGAATCCTGGTGTGGCACTGCAGGATAATGTACTGGACTGCAAGGTCAGTTTGAACCGTAAGGTCAGCAGTCCAAACTCACAAGCTGCACCTTGGAAACCAAGGGTCAAAGGTACTTAACAACAACACAGAAATCAAATTGATTACATATGTTGAAAGAAATGGTGGAAAACCTTCATATCATCAGCCAAAATAAGGCCAGGGGCAGACTGTGAAACACAACATCAATAGCTCACATGCTAGTTCAGGCTGAAGCTGAAGAAAATTAAAACAAGTTTATAAGAGCCAAAATATGACCTTGAACACATCCCATCTAAATTTAGAGATCATCTCAAGAACAGATTTAATAAGTTAGATAGTAATGACCCAATCCCAACGAGTTATGGAATGACATCAAGAACATCATAAATAGTGAAAGCAGAAGGTAATTAAGAAGACAAGAAAGAAAAAAAGACCAAAATGGATGTCAGAAGAGACTCTGAAACTTCCTTTTCAGTGTAGAGATGCTAAAACAAATGGAAGAAATGAGGAGGTAAAAGAGCTGCCCAGAAACTTTCAGAAGACAACTCAAGAAGACAAAGTCAAATATTATAACGAAATGTGCAAAGGCCTGGAGTTAGAAAACCAAAAGGGAAGAAGGCACTCAGTATTTGTCAAACTGAAAGAAATGAAGGAAAAATTCAAGCTTCAATTGCAATATTGAAGGATTCAATGAGAAAATATTGAATTATTCAGAAAACATCAAAAAATGGGAGGATTGTTGAATGTAAAACTCATGATCTGGCCTGTAAACTTTACCTCAATACACAATAAAGAGTTAAAAAAAAAAGAAAGAAAATGATCAATTTTCAACCATTTCAAGAGGCAATGATATTGAAGGAAGACGTTCAAGGTGTACTGAAGGCATTGGCAAAGAACAAGGCTCCAGGAATTGATGGAATACAAATTGAAATATTTCAACAAACTGATGCAGCACTGGAGGCACTCATATATGTATGTCAAGAAATTTGGAAGACAGTTATCTGGCCAACAAGTTGGAAGAGATCCACATTTGTGCCCATTCCAAAGATAGGTGATCTAACAGAACAAGGAAATCATTGGCCAATATCATTAATACCGCATGAAAGTAAAATTTTGCTTAACGTGATTCAAAAATGGCTGTAGCAGTACATTGAGAGAGAGCTGCCAGCGGTTCAGGCTGAATTCACACAGGGACATGAAATAAGGAATATCATTGCTATATTAGATTGACCTTGGCTGAAAGCAGAGGATACCAGAAAGATGTTTACCTGTGTTTTATTGGCTATGCAAAGGCTTTTGATTGTGTGGATTATGACAACCTATGGACATTGGGAAGAATGGTCATTAATTATGCTCATGAGGAACCTGTACATAGACCAAGAGGCAGTGTTTCAAACAGAACAAGGGGTAATGAGTGGTTTTAAATCAGGAAAGGTGTGTGCCAGGGTTGTATTCTTTCACGATATTTATTCAATCTATGTGCTGAGCAAATAATCTGAATTATATGAAAATAGATTCTATGAAGAAGAATGTGGTACAGGATTAGAGAAAGACTCATGAACAACCTGCGATGTGCATGTGATACAAACTTGCTTGCTGAAAGTGAAGAGAACTTAAAATATTTACTGATGAAAATCAAAGGACACAGCCTTTGGCAGGAGTTGTACCTCAATGTAAAGAAAGCAATGTAAAAATATCCTCACCAATTGACCAACAAATAACATTAAGGTAAATGGAGAAAAGAGTGAAGGTTTTAAAGACTTCGTTTTACTCAGATCAACCTTTAACACTCATGGAAGCAGCAGTCAAGAAATCAAATGATGTGTTGCATTAGGCAAATCTGCTCCACAAGTCTTCTTGAAAGTGCTCAAGAGCAAAGATATCAGCTTGAGGACTAAAGTGTGCCTAATCCAAACTGTGTATTTTCAATAGCCTCATATATATGTGAAATTTGGACAATGAATAAGGACGACCATGGAAGAATTCATGTATTTGAGTTACGGTTCGGGAGGAGTTATGGTTTAAAAGTAAGGAGTCCCAGTATGGCACTGTGGGTTAATGTACTGGACTGCAAAGTGGCTTTGAACAGCAACGTCAGCGGTTCAATCTTACCAGCCATTCCTTGGAAACCCTATACAGGGTCATTATGAGTCAGGACAACTCAACAGCACTTAACAACAACATCAACAACATGGTTAAAAAGTATCATAGAGTGCCTGAAGAACAAACATGTGTTGAAAGGACAGCCAGAATGTTCCTTGGAAGCTAGGATAGTGAGACTTCATCTCTCATACTTTGGATATATTATCGGGAGGGACCAGTCCCTGAAGAAGAGCATCATGCTTAATAAAGTGGAAGGTCAGCAAAAAAGAGGAAGACCCCCAGTGAGATGAATTGGCACCATGGCAATAGCAATGGACTCAAGAGTAGCAACGATTGTGAGATTGGCACAGAACCAGGCAATGTTTCATTCTGCTGAACATAAGGTTGCTATGAGTTGGTGCTAACTCGACATCACCTAACAACAACATGGTTGAATAACAAAATTTAATCCTTTTAATCTCCATCCTCTATTAATAAATACCACCATTTTCTGCCTATTGCCAGTCCTAACTCATTCTCTCCAGTTTTACAGCTTCATCCTCCCTCTGACTTTTTCTGTGAAGTGTTTATTTATTCATCCATGAAATATTTGTTGAAGACCAATGTGTCAGAAGCATGGTAGTAGATCTGAGAATATGGCAATGAACTGGTCAGTTGTGGTCTCTACTTCGTGGAATTTTCTATCTATTAGAGAACTACGATACTGAGGCACATTATGAGGAGGGATAAGTACAGGGTACTGTGGAGGTCTAATTCATTATGGGGACTCTAAATGAACAGAAGTGAGCAGGAGAAAGAAGTAGGATGGAAGCGGGAAGAAACTAAATGTGAGATTGTTCTACAAAAAGGTGCAATGTGTGGAATCTCTGAAATGGGAAAGAGTATGCCATATTCAAGACAATAAAAGCAGTCTAGTTTCCATGGAGTAAGACAAGGAGAGGCAGAGAGACCTGAAATGAGTCTGGGTAAGTCAACAGTACAAGAACACACCTGACCTCAAACATGAGTCAACCAGCCCAACTTCTCTCCAATATGCATATTTGAAATAAGCACATAACCTCTTGTAAGTCATTACACATGGCAGTTACTCTTACCATCCCCCTGGACCAAGAGCCTGTCAATGTTAGTGCCCTTGCATTTCTTTCCAGTTAACCTAATAGCAAGTGTGATTATCAGAGGGTAGTGAATTTTCTCAATATTCAGTCACAACACAATGGCACACAACAGCATAGTTACCTTAAGAAGATATGAAATTTAATTTAAATAATATGTATCCTTAAGATGCCAACATATAAAAAGTATTCAATAAATATTATTCTTTTAAAAAAAAATGTAAGATTCAGTCACAAGATATACTACAAATCTTGCTCTCTTTGTCTCAATAAAATATTTTTAATGGTTCAGACTCTTCCCTTCTTGTTAACCACTGAGACCTTTAGAATAAAAAGGAATTAAAGGACTGATGTGCCTAAAAGATATTTCAATGGCATCTGGTTCTGTCTGTCAAATGGCAATCTATCAACCAAAAAGTGAGTTGTCCCCTAAAGACCTGTGTAGAGTTGATGTTTGGGACTGAAGGAGAGTGTACTAGCGTGGTTGGGTCATAAGAATGAATATTTAGGTCAACTGAGTGTTTCTTTGTCCATCCAGAGGCTCATTTTGAGGTCCTGCACCAGCCTGTTACCTTGAGGAAAGCCCTCTTTACATCCTTGTTCCGGAGGCTGTAGATGATGGGATTGAGAAAGGCAGAGATGACATTGTAGAATAGAGCCAGCTTTTTATCTTCTTCTGGGGAGGCCATAGAACCAGGCCTCATGTACATGACCATGGCTGGCACACAGAACATGGTGACCACAGTGATATGCGAAGCACAGGTAGAGAAAGCCTTGAGCCGCCCCTGGGCTGAACGAATCCTTAAGATGGCGATGAAAATATTGATGTAGATGACAAGAATGAGGGAGAGTGGGACCAGGATGACACTAAAGCCAAGAATGAAATCAACTCGGTCATTGACTGAGGTGTCTGCACAGGCCAGCTTCAGGACTGCAGGTACTTCACAGAAGAAGTGGTTGATTTTGTTGGGACCACAGTAAGGCAGACGCATGGCAAAGACTGTGTAGACAAGAGCAGAGATGACACCCCAGAGTCCACAGAAGATTACCATTGTTCCACATAGCCATGGACTCATGATGACCTTGTATCTGAGTGGATGACAGATGGCTATATATCTGTCTATAGACATGATAGCAAAGAGCCAAGATTCAGTGATACCTAGCACCAAGAAAATATACATTTGGGCCACACATCTGGCAAAAGATATGGTCTTCTTTTGACTGACCAGATGTGCCAACATCTGGGGAACAGTTGTCGTGGTGTATCCCAAATCCAAGATGGAGAGAATGCCGATAAAGAAGTACATGGGTGTGTGGAGGTGAGAGTCTAGGCAGATAAGGATGGTGATCAAACCATTGCCCACGATAATCAAAAAGTAGGTGATCATGAAGGCAGCAAATAGCAGAGGAGTAGTCCTGGGGCCCAGAGAGAAACCCAGAAGGATGAATTCAGTCACAGAGGAATGGTTGGGCTCTTGCATTGTGTTCTACCTCTTAATGAAAAAGAGAGGCACCAATTCAGACAGGAAACTGTCTAAGCTATATAACAGGGTGGGGATTATTGATGGAAGTAAGGTTGTCTTCATTGTTTAGTTATGATAAAAAATCATGATACCCCCCCAATCAAGACCGCCCATTTTACCTGCTCTTGTCCACTGCCACAACCCCCATATATTTGTCAAGAGGAAAGAGTTTCCACATCTAGTCCAGACTCTTCTCTAGTAATTCCCTATCTCAGCTTCAGTTTCCTCAGTTGTCAAATGAAATCATTGGACTAGCTGATCTCTAACTTCCCAGCATCCCCTTTTCTTCATTAAGACATTTAACTTATTTTCATGTAGCCAAGTGTTTAGAGAGAAATATTAGGGAACAGACTCTGTGAACATTGTCAAATTTCAGGGGCCTGACACAGTAAAATAATCCACTTGGGTTTTTTTTTTAAGATATTAATTGATTTTTCCTTTTTAATATTTTATTATATAACTAATATAACCCCAGACCAAGCCACCTCTCTGATTACCCATCCACCCTATTACAGATTCTGGTGAATTAAAAGAAACACTGAATTCTAAAATTTGGCTCTGGAATTTACTGAGTGAATGATCTTGAGCAAGCCCTTTACCTTTCCCCAAACCTCTTTAAGCCTGCTTCCTCAAGTATGAAATGAGAATGATTATCTCTTTGCTACAGATTTGCTTCAAGGATTGAGTGATATTTTGGCATATAAAGCACTGTGCAGAAGGCTTAACATATGGTAGCCGCTCAATAAGCATTGCATTTCTGAATAGTTCTCCAGACACAAAACTGGGATTTCAGTCCAAGCTCTGCAAGCACACATCCTGAGAAACCATTCCATCATCTTTGATGCCCACTATCAGTTTTCATTCTGCCAGATGTCTACCCCATGTTACTTCTCCCATTAAAGCCAATATTCCATTCACTCTATCTTTTAACTTTCTCTGCTTCTTAGTTCTGTCTCAACTTCCCTGAACTTCAGTTTCTTTGTGACGAACAGCGAAAGGGCACTTTTGTTGGAGAAATGTCATGTGTGCAGTAGTACATCACTGGTACTTGGGGAATGGGAATAATCTTGATGCTGTCAGTATTATCCTGCCCTGACACCTGAATTTATCTGACCCCAAATAACTTGCTCTCCAGTCTCCTTGTTCTCCTTTGGATAACCATGGATGCTCCTTCACCTATATCTCCATCCAATAATACATTGAATGTACTGACTCAAAGGACTTTAGCTCAGAGGACTGCGTATAATTGAACTTCCTATATGTCAGGCACTTTGTCAAAATCTTTCACAGACAGTATCAGGCAGCTGGCAGATAACTGTTTTGTTAAATTCCTCACCAGAGGCCCCTATAAGTCACCTTGTCTTCCTAGGTTGACCCCAGTTACTTCAACTGTACTATATAATGGATAACGGTGTTTGGGCCAGGTGATCTTGCAGGGAGGGAGTCGACATGGCAAAGTGAAAAGGGCATTAGGTTTTTAAGATGATTGGTTCTGTTTGACTCCTGGCTCTGATTTTACTGACTGGCTATGATGTGACCTTGGACTATTAGCTCACTTCTCTGGACCTTCATTTCCTTACCTACAAAAATAGGAATAAAGATACTTACCTTGCTATCCACATTCTTTCTAAAATGAAACTGACTGAAGTTGTGTGAATATTCTGTCTTAGGGACAAGTATAAGAAAATATACTTAGGGCCAAGTTTAGGAGTCCTGGTGTGGTGCTGAGGGTTAATGCGCCAGACTGCAAAGCCGTTTGAACTGCAAGGTCGGCGATTCAAGCTCACCAGCTGCTCCTCGGAAACCCTATACAGGGTCGCTATGGGTCGGACCCGACTCGACGGCACATAACAACAACAACATAGGAATATGTGGTGCAATTTCTAACTTTTCCTTTTTGACACGTAGCCAATAATTGGGCTTGCTCTTTTAAAGCCTTATGTTAAAGACTGTTTAACCTGGTTGAGCCATGAAGGTAAGCTGAAGACAATTGGAACAATGAAGTGTGCCTACAGATACTGTTTCACAACCAGGGCCCTGGGTTGGAAACTCAGCCTCCCTCAATTAAGAATAAGTCCTTCATTATCCTTCCTCCCAGTTCTCCTGAGGACACACAAAAGCCAACTCCTATGCCAAACTCTCAGGCAAAGGAACCAGAAACCCCATGTGAGAGAGAAAGAGGCAACATATTATTTACTATGCTGAGCCTGGTCTCTGTGTCTCCACTTAACCAAATATATAGAATTCAGCTTTGGGGCTGTGCCTTTAAAAACACCTCATGATGATTCTGCGAGGATAACGCAGGGACCAATATCTCCATCACACTGATGGAGAAACTGAGGCTCAGAGAGGGAACTATGGAAGAAACTGAATCTCACTCAATTTTCAGCTGCTATACAATTTCCCAATTCCAGTAAAACCATAGTTAACCAGCACTCAACCAGTCTAAGTCTTCAATTTCCTGAAATGTTTTCTGTCCTTGATTCTTAGAAAAGGCAATAAATCTTGTGTTAGGTCTAATTTAATTATATGTACATATGGAGTCCTGGCATAGTGCTGTAGGATAAGCACTGGACTGCTAACTGCAAGGTGGGTAGTTCAAATCCACAAGACACTCCTTGGGGATTTTATGCAGGATCGCTATGAATCAGAACCAACTCAACAGCACTTAACCACAACAACATGGAGTCCCTGGGTGCTACACTTAACGCCTCAACTACTCATCAAAAGTTGGCAGTTCAAGTCCACACAGAAGTACGTTGGAAGAAAGGCCTAGAGATTCACTTCTGAAAAATCAGCCATTGAAAATGCTATAGAGGACAGCTCTACTGTCACATACATGGGGTTGCAATGAGTTAGAGTTGATGGTACTCGTCTCCTTTTTTATGGATATAGATATGCATACAAAAAGGAGCTTTGGTAGCGTAGTGGTTACGAATAGGGCTGCGAACTGCAAGGTCAGGAGTTCGAAACTACCAGTTGTTCCGCTGGAGAAAGGTGAGGCTTTCTGCTCCCGTAAAGATTTATAGCCTCGGAAACCCTGTACAGGGTCGCTATGAGTCGGAACCGACTCCAGGGTACTTACCATATACTGTCTAGGCTTCATTGCCACCACCTCTAAAATGCCCTCAACAGTCATAGCTCCCTCCCCAATTCAGGTCCATAGCATCTCTCTCTCTCATCTGCATTTCTTCCCAGTCTTTCAGTTGGTCCCCTGCCAGCCCACTCTCTGCACTGGACTTCAGAGGACTTTTTCTAAATTAAAAATTCTGACTGAATTTCTTCTTGGCTTAAAGTCCTTCAATGACTTCTTTATCTTCAGGGAAAAGTCTGAGTACAGACCAATACTCAGCCTTAATTCCTAAAAGCTGGACTGAGTTTGGTCACCAGATTCCAAGGCAGGTAAGTAGGCTCAAGCACATTAGAGAGCTCTTTAGGTGCAAGGACTGAAACAGAAAGCTTCACAGCGTCCCATGATACCGTCACCATAGAGGAGACCTGGGAAATGATTTATAGAAAGAAGAAAACAGGTCCATGGTCACAATGGTACTTTGAGGCAGAACTGAGACTAGGAGTCATGGTTCCTGGCTAGCCATTGGTCAGCTTCTCAGGCTGTGTCCTAGCTAAAGGCAAATCAAACTAACAAAGAAATCCTGAGCAACTTGCTTCCCCTGAAAATGACTTCGTTGTTCTTCCTATTGTGTCCTTATTGCTTAAGGCAGAGCCTTGCACATAGTGATGGTGGTAGTGGTGATTGTGTGCTATTGAGTGGATTCCATCTCATAGCACATCAATGTCAATTGAATGATTTACATACCAGAAGATCCTAGGAAGTCAGAACAAAAGAGAGAGGAAAGGTTACAGGTATTTTCTCTCTCCCTACACTTTTCCCTCCTGTTCCCCAGAGGTTTGGAGAAAAATACCTGCGTCTGGAGGTCACAAGCTTTGCTAGAGAAACCAGAGGGCAAATTGGAGGGAAGGGAAGATTGGGAGAATTGACACTGAATGCTGTGAATCTCTCTATAATTTTAGTAAACTCTGTCCCACCTAATAATAGCAACCATAACAATCATATTCATAGCATCTTCCAAAAATACTGCATGTGAAGCCAGGCACTGTAATATATGCTTTATATGCATTATTTTACCACCACCACCCCGTAATTGGGGTTATAGTGGAAGATTTAACAACAAATATGAGTGCCCTCCAATCAGACAAGGTCAGCAGCTCGAAACTACCAGCTGTTCCATGGGAGAAAGATGAGGCTTTCTGCTCCCGTAAAGATTTACAGCCTCGGAAACCCTGTACAGGGTCGCTATGAGTCAGAACTGACTCCACGGCACACAGCCACCACCACCAGCCAATCAGAACAGACACCAGGCATAAAGAACAGATCAAATGTTCTTTCATACCAGAATGTCTACAAGCTGAACATCAGCCCTGAACCCAACCACTCTCATTTTACAAATAAGGAAGGAAATGACTCCATTTTCCCAGGGTCACAATCAGCCCATTCTAGAGCTTGTGCTTACAGTCACTAAGCACACTGCCTCTCTGAACACCCAGGACAAGAGTGTGGTTGGGCTGATCCACCTAAAACAGGTCCTTCCTCCCCCATTTCTTCCTCCTTACAATCACTTGTTCATTTCCTCTCATTCCCTGTCTCCTCCACAATCCTCGATTCCCATTCAAGTAAGGCAATCCCAGTCTACCACAGAGACTCTGACCCTGTGGTGCAGGGCTCAAGCATCACCCAGGCCAACTGTGGCTGGGCCTGTGCTGAGGTTAGGTAAGAGTCCAGAGTAAGCTGGCTCTGTGTCTCCCTTTTATCTGCCCTGGGCTATAGGACCCTTCTGAGTCTCCAGGAATATCCCTACAGCTTTGGTCTGGACAATTTTAAAGAGTCACAAAACCTTGGTGCTGCAGGCAGTATTGGATAGTCCAACCCTTATATCAGG